AGACAACTAACTTTTTTTTAGGGAAAAAAACCCCAAACAAACCACAAAATGGGTAGCAGTAAATTAGAAACTATATTCATAACAACAACATGGAATGGTAAAGACAGAGAAAAAGTTGCAATTGATGCGGCTAAGAAGCATGTTTTTAAAGCATAAGAAAAAATATAAACAGCGACATTACTGAGAATAGTAAAGTTGCCAAGGGAAAAAAAAAGCTGTTATATGCAATACTTTACAGTAGGAAACAATTAAGATGACATATCTTATGAATAAAAAATAATTACCTTCCAATGCTTTAACAGTGGTAGATACATCTCCTTTACCACTGAGAAATTTTTAGAAATAAATTCTTATCATGGCAAGGTCAGATGATTTGTTCCTAATAATTCTAGAAGAGCTGGGAGTGAAGCCTCAGGTCTACACACCGACAATTTTACAACACTATTATAGTTCCAGTAAATCAAGAGTTAATACTTTGAAGATATTAAAAAAAGTAACAACATAGGACAGAAAACATAACACTCAACTAGAAAACATATAGAAGAAACCGTTATGTACTGATATTAATAAATTAACATATCAAAATAGTCCCCACTGACTACCATCAATATAAGGTGATAATAGCTCATGCACATGAAGACCAAAATGACAATTTTACAATTGTAATACTTACAAAAATAAGCCAACATAATATGTATCTACACGGCATGACTTACTAGTATGATGCCTTCAGAACTGTATTAGAGCAATAAAGAACATATGAAATTAATTAAAATTTAAGATATCACTGAATTTTATTTACTTATTTTAAATGGAGAACCTGCATGGACTGTTGCCATATTTAAAAGCACTCAACACTTTTAGTGATTTGGAAGTGACTCTAAACACACTTCCTGATAGCATGTTATGGATGAGAAGCATATCCACTAAACAGAGTAGCAGTCAGAACAAGGCCAGAAAGACCAAAAGAGACCGACTCACTCAGAGTAGGTTGTATGAGAAAATCAAACACAAAGCATACTGATAGGGAATAAGGAGGAGGCCATACTCTAAACAGTGGATTAATCTAATCGGCACATACTTTTTGTGCAGAATAAGAAAATGATCCAAAGGAAGACAAGCATGGAGTAACTATGTCAGCAGCACTGGCTATCCTGAATGAGTAATTCCAGTTCTGATTACACAGATAACAAAACAAACAGGGATCTGAGTGGCTGTAACAAGACTGCACATTATTCTAGTTTTTGGCCCAATGTTATTGAATAAATATCTGTCAAGAAGAAAAAGGTTGAAGATCACAGACATTAAAATACTGGTAATTGCACAGGTGAGATTAAGAAACCCTTTTAGAAAAAACTTTGGATTTTTAAAGATGCCATAAAGTGACCAGCCACTATTGTCTTGGATCTTGGTCATCCTCCCAAGGAGGACTGCAGTGAAGATACCACTAGAGGTTAGAGTTGCAGTAAGCAGCCACAGGTGCAACTTAAAGGTCTGCAGAAGTTGTGATTTTTAAACTCATTTTCTACATGACACAGTGTCCTTTTAAAAATGGAAATGTATCACATGGATTCTTGTGGAATTTAGTGACAGGTCAGTGTATAAATACTGAAAAACCTCATATTACAACTCAAATAAAACATAAAGTAAATAAGTAATAATTAAATAATAAATAATTAAAACAAAGTTTTAAGGTTTGTGAAATGAGGTCCTGAAAAGCAACAGGAAATCATTCTTGCATAATAGTAATCCAGACTGAGTAACTTCTGGTCACAACACTCACATTAGTGAGATGATCACCCCCAACATGGTGGTTGTGGTTTAACCCCAGTCAGCAACTAAGCACCCCACAGCGGCTCTCTCACTCCCCTCACAGCAGGATGGTGGAGAAAAATCAGAAGATTAAAAGTGAGAAAATTCATGGGTTGAAATAAAGACAGTTTAATAGGGAAAGCAAAAGCCCCATGCACAAGCAAAGCAAAACAAGGGATTCATCCACTGCTCCCCATTGGCAGGCAGGCTCTCAGCCATCTCCAGGACAGCAAGGCTCCATCACACGTAATGGTGACTTGGGAAGACAAACACCATCACTCCAAACGTCCCCCCTTCCTCCTTCTTCCCCCAGCTCTATATGCTGAGCATGATGTCATATGGTCTGGGATATCCCTTTGGTCAGTTGGGGTCAGCTGTCCCAGCTGTGTCCTCTCCCAACTTGCTGTGCACCCCCAGCCTACTCACTGGTGGGGTGGGGGGAGAAGCAGAAAAAGCCTTGATGCTGTGTAAGCTCTGCTCAGCAGTAACTGAAAGATCCCTGTGTTATCAACACTGTTACCAGCACAAACCCAAAACACAGCCCCATACTAGCTACTATGAAGAAAGTTACCTCTGTCCCAGCCAAAACCAGCACAATGGCCCAGGAAAAACAAACCAGTGTGTTCATACTCAAATGGCTGGTATATGGCAGCAGAGAAGGTAAATGATACAAATGGTGCGTTAACACTTGAACACATGTTCAAGAATATACAATCCTTGTCATCCCAAATGAGAAGAAATACAATAAAGACCTGTAGAGTGCTACAGCAGTTAAAAAGTGGCATCTCCTTTGTTACTGGTATGGCTGCCTGCTCCTGAAGCACAGAACAGTTATGCTTGAAGTTCCTGGCACGAGAGCCAAAAGGCAAGGCTCACTTTGGGTTTCACTTTTTGGACAAATAAATTTATCTGTCCTGCAAGAACCTCATGACATGAGGAAGCAAGCCTCTGTGAATGAAAGCATCTCCTTTGTCAAATATTCAATTTATATATAAGTAAACAGGAGCTATCTAGAGACCTCCATCACCCACATCTGTGGCTGCCCACAGAAAAGCTAAACAAATAAGGCTAAACCAAAAATTCTCCAGAGTCAACAAGCAGAAGCAGCATAAGAATCAGACATCCTGTCAAGTGCTTTGTTCAACACTTAATAGAACCTGTTCGTGAGACAAGATTACAATGAAGGCAAAGAGATTTCAGGAGTGGAAATCATATCTATTGTTGCACTCTACAAGGTCTATCAATGCCCTTTGAAATCAGGGGTAAGACACAAGGTTTTGCCATGACACTGGTTCTGGCTCACAAATACATTATTATCTGGGACTGCCACCGCTTCTGCTGTAAAATATCCAGTAGGATTACTCTTCTTCCAGAAAAATATGAAGGGGAGGAAGGGGAAAAAAAGACATCTAAACAGATTCTGAAGTGACTTCTTGACATCAAAATGGTACACTGCCACCAATTCCATCTTCAAGAAAAGGAAACAAATCTAGATGAAGCAGTAATACTGTCCTTTACTCAGCTATGCAGAGTGCAATGCTAGCACCAAATAGCACCTGAGGGGCTAGAGTTGCAACTGCTACAGCTCCAGAACAGACCGACAGCATCTGAGCTGGTATCTTCTGTACCAAAAGCCACATGAATGAATTGGAAGAGTTTGGGGAACTGCCACTAAAAAATAAGCATCTGGAAGTAGTCAGTCGTAAATAAATTCTGGCTATGTTGATGTTATTTTACCTTGGTCTACAGTAATCCACAGTATCCAGACATCATCATTCTGTCTCATTCCCATATGCATTTTAACTTCTGAACTTCGATATCCAATCACATTTATTTTCCTTTCAAATTGACACGGCATCTACAGCACCTTCTTCATCAAAAAGCAAGTCATATTCACTATCTCCCATTCTGACAGTCTTCCCTTTAGACCTGCATTGTACTTCTGTTACCCCAAATGCCTAATTCTTCAGAGGCAGGAAGGAGAAACAAAAGGATGAGGAAAATAACACCTCCTATGAACACACAGAAGGGAAAGCTTTCAACATGCCCATGGTTGTAAACTTCTGTAGGTTGTCAAAATTTCTGTCATCTGATTGGAACAAAGTTCAGAATAAAGGTTTAGTAACATGGCTTTCTACCCAAAGTCTGAGGAAAACACTTTTATGTAGTGCCAGCTGACTGTCTTAAGTGAACTACAAAAGTCTTTGAGGCCACTGCAACTTTGAGACAGGTTGATTCACACAGGTCCTTTTGTTTTTTCTTTTGTGAGAAATGTTCTTTTGTACAATGGATTGAGTATTGATCTACTGTTGTATTATAGGCCAAACATCCTTAAGGAAACTCAGAGCTGAGTTCTTCTTACAAATGAGAGAAGAGTGACCCGTTTCTATCTACAAACTTGCCTTTGGCTGAAACTGGTAACTTATAAACAGAAGTTACACAAGAAAATTAAGATTTCATAAATTCTTTCAAAATCAGGATTATTAAAATTCATAAATTCTTCAAGAGTTATTAATGATCATAGACGTGAGGGTTCTCTGTCAATACTGAGAACATCCACTGACTGAAAGATTTACTGAAAGGACAAAAAAAAAGAATGAAAAAGAGAGGTTAATCAAAAAATAAAACAGAAGAGAATGAAGGTCTGTATTCAATGTTGACTTTATCATACACTAGAGAAGTGTTATGTCATAACATTAATGTTCAACTTCAATTAGTTCGCAGTGTATCAGTACTCTATTTCCAACAGAAGCAGCTTTTCTGTGCTTTACTATTTGAAATGAGAGGCTAACAATGAATACATGAAACTATTCTCAACCTCATTAAAAAAGGTCACAGCTTAAAATACAACCTCAATAGCACAAATTCAGATTCATTAACTTTCATAAAATTCAACTATAGCTTCCTCCCCAGAAGACTACATACCCACAGCAGTGAGCAGAACTGGCTTGTTATATGAAGACACGTTAAAAAAACCAAAACCAAAACTAAAGTCCTACAGTTCTTGCTGTGTTTGTGGCTCGCTGGCCTACGCAGAGAGGAAGGCAACTGCTATATAAGAAGTTTTGTACACACTAATGCAGACTACAAGCTTCTTTGCAAGCAGACAACTACATTGACTTGAATTTTCTTGATCCTAAGATTAAAGCCACAGATCTATTTTTAATTCCACATTATAACATACTTACTCTGCCATTACACGTCTGACGTTATTGGCATATAACACTGGATTTTTTCTTTCTTCTTCTGAAGGAATATACACAGGTAGAAACTGCATACAGAGAACTGAATTATACTAAGAATATTTAACATTTTAAACAATCTCTATTATAGCACTACAGTGAAAAAAGTATACACTTTGTTGCTACCTACAAAATTATATTAACAAAAGGACTACAAAAATTTAAAAATTGAACACTTAAATGCTTAAAAATGTGTCATACTTCTAGAAATTCATATAACAGTGACTCTGCTCATTTCTTACCTCATGGAACCCGAGTTTTATCCTCTTCTCATAAGTGAGACCAGGAATTTTTAAAGCATTTAAAAACACTAGCAGTTTCTTGCACAAAGTTTTCTCTTACAGCCTGTATTATTCAGCTCATTCCAGATTATCAAGAAAAGGACCTGTTACATGAACATTGTTCTATAGTTTAAATATAAAGAATTCAAATTCTCAGGACAGCAGGTATTTATTGTGCCCCCTGCACATTTTGAATCATATATAACTGCTTAATGTACACATCAGAAGTCTTTTTAACTTCTGTTGTTGGAAGTTTTGAAAAATTTCTCCTTCAAATTGACACTATTTATTAATACTCAACTGAAAGAGAAACTCAAAATAAATGCACATGGCCACAGAATCACAGAACACTTGACATATGAAAGGGAGAATTAAACCTGAACTGCTGGAGATCTACAACAGAAAAGGCAGCTTACAAAGTGGGATGGCATATACTAAAAGACTTTCCAGCTTTTGGCAGTGTTTTTAAGTGTTTGTTAAAACATGATGTAAGCCCCAAGATCATGGCCAGTCTCATTTATAAAAACCCTCAAAATATCTCACTTCTGCCAAGTAACTATCTTCTAGATAGAAGGAACAAGAAGGGATCACTCTGATTCCCACCCCTGCTCAGTATCAGACAGACAATTCCCTTAGTAGTGCAGTGAGGTAATTTACGCACTAAGTAAACAAAATGTTCATAATTCTGTGGAAAACTTCTGAAGCAGAAACCGAAGTTGTAATAAGCTTAGTTATATTCCATACAATTACCTATGGGTAGTATAAAATGGGAATTGTGATCCAGCAATTTCACACTGGTCTTTAAAACAGAAAATAACAAGTGGGAAATTAATACAAAGTTAATCATTTAAGCAAATACTTATCAACACCTATAAAGGCAGCTCTATTTTCAGACTTGCGTACTGGTATGATCAGCAATTGCCAGTAAATTTTTATCTGTTTCTTAGAGGTAACTCAGTGATGGACAAATCTTAAATTTAGTTTGGGTTTTCCTATAGTTTTCCCTGTATGTGCCACTGCAACTGAAAACATGACTCCTGTCTTCTATATTTACAAGCAGGTGTGACAGCCTGATATGATGCAGTATACAAAGAAACAAAGACCGTGAAGCTAGCAGACAGAAAAATTGTTCCCTGAAGTTCCAAGCCCAATTCTATTTCTTTCACTTTGGGTTGCAAATTGCTATTAAGTTATTCATTCAAACACAGAACAAGTTCAAATACGAGGCAATTTAAAAAATGTTCTACATGTCTGTGCCTAACTGGACAGAACTAGCATGATCATTTCAGCACCACTAACAACAGTAAGAGAAGAACACTCAGCTGCTGCAGATTGTGATAGATATATGAACACTGAAGCTGACAGGCCAGTAAAAAAACCTGACATGAGCCAAACCAAACTCAATGCACAGGTGATCACATACCCTTTCTTCTTCACAAGATTGCTTGCATGTCAGTTCCAAGTACAGGATGGATGGGCGGCCCAATATTTATAGTAACCTATCATAAAACCTACATAGATGCTTGCTTCTCAATATACATGACATGTATGGTATGCCAGAACATATATTATATGCAGAGAAGCCCATACTAACAAATTTCAGATCCTGACTGCTGGCTGTTAGACCTTACAAGCTATCACTTAACTAAAACCAACTGCAGTTCTGTTGCTTTGCTGTACACCTCCCTGAGTTACTGGATCTTCAGCAATAATTCTTGTATCAAGGCTGGTTGGTATTTGCCAGTATCCATGTGCTGATGGAAAAGCCAATAAGCTTTGGAGACCAGGGGAAAACCATGACTTTGAACACAGAACTCCTCATTTTTTCCCCTACATTCCTAAATCTGCATCACTTCCTTACAAAAACAGATTCAACAAGTTAGTCTCAAGTACTCTGCCTCATACTTGCAAGCAGCTTTGCAGACAGTTCTGCTCTTCTACCCTCTGCCAGCTCCTGCTTTAGTACAGTGTATTTCAGAAAGTCACTAGCTTTTTTTAATTTTTTTTTTCTCAAAAGAGAAGGCCAAAGATCATAACTTGTCCTTGAGCAAGTTCTGTATGTGCTCCAGAAACTCAGCATCTGCTAGCAGCTGCTGTCTCAAAAATCAAGAAAGCTCAGCAGCATTCGCTTCTGTGTGAAAGAACCCATTTTACTTGCCTAGGGCAGAAAACCATGTTCCGAGATAGATTAAAAATCCTGCCAATCAGTTGGTTTGCCTTGCTCCTGAATGAGGCAGTTGCTCCCTGGCCCTTCTACCAAAAACATGTTACTCTTTCGGAAATAAGATATTTGATATATTTTTTTAAATACATATACTTTTAATAGCTGAAAATATGCCACTAAAGTGATATCAGTAACCACAAATTTCTACAAGATATGACTGTTCAGTGGCTGGTATTTTATGCATTCATTATTTCTGAGAAAAATTTATAGCATAAACAAACACTGAGCATAGCAATGATAATTACTGTGATTAACATGTTACTATTGTGTCTATATATATACATAATATGTATATGTGCATATGTATATATGTAAGAGTTCTTTCTATTAATTTACCTGGCTATCAGTAAGAGATGAGTAGCTACTTCATCATTAAGATACGTTAGCAAAATAACTCCAGAACATCTGTCAAATATCATATATAACACCTTTAAAACATGATCTAGTGGAAGGTGTCCCAGCCCATGTCAGGGGGGTTGGAACTAGATGATCTCTAAGGTCCCTTCAATCTCAAACCATTCTATGATTCTATGAAAACACCATACTTCTCCACAAAAACGTAGAGTAATTACATTTTTGTGGAGAAGTATGGTGTTTTCATAGAATCACAGATTACTCTCTGTAAAATGCATATGGACAACAATTTAAAATGAAATGTTTTGCATTTTCACTAAAATAGTCTTCAGCCTTAGGGTCACGTAGTATTTTCCTCAAAACAAAGATAAGACTAGACATAAACTTAAATTTTCTTTGTGTTTCCCAATTTCACATTCTGAACAGTGCCTAATAAAAAAAAACCTAGGCAGATACTAAATAACCTATTTGGCCTATGAGAAACCACTTACAATGATTTTTTCTTTAGAAGATAGTCCTTAGTTTCTACATCAGCATTCACACACTTGGATATCTAACACACACCGTTGGTATACTAGCTGGAATAGCAATCAGGCAATTAAGTGAGAAATCTATTCACAAAAGACTCTTTAAACAGTCAGAAATCTGCTTAATTTAAAAGAGTAAGAAATTAAAGTCTTAAGCCAAGTGGAAGTCTATATTTTGTTATTCCATTTTTAGGCTACATTTTCAGATATAGAAGCAATTTGTCTAAAATGTAAGAGCTATTTTAACCTGGTTTTGCAGACTGTTAACATACAGTTTGAATACAAACTTTTACTACAGAATTAAGCACAATTTTATGTATTCTGATATTGCTCAGAATACACTGGTTGGTTGGTTTGTTTTTTTTTACTGACCTCAATTTCCACAGAATTGTGAAACTGACACAAAGTAAGCCACAGAATTTCTAACCTAAAGGGGGAAAAAAAAAAAGTATGGAGGAAAAAAATGCACATGTAGTAAAGCAGTAGTACATTAGATTTCAAAGTCTTCAAGTAACATTCAACTTGTATGTATGACCATATTCAGATACAAAAACAACAGAAGAGATCTCAAAGTACTTCTATACATTACATTCTGTAAGGTAGAATAAAGGCAATTTACACTGAAGTTGCATCTTAAAAGATACCCAAAAGCAGGAAGACAAGAAGTAATATGATATACAGGTACTAATACATACAGTTAGATCTGATCTATGCATAGTGTGTAAAGAAAGAGTAAGTCTGTTTCAGGAAAATGCTGTATTTGGCAACGAGTTGGCAAGATTAATTATAGCTACTAAGATTTTATCATTACCTTGGTTTGGAATCAAAGTTCATTATACTTCAGAAGTCTGTTAATGAAATGCAGTACATGTGCTTTAGTAGCCTAAGACACAAGATACTGGAATAAACCTGACCTTAGAAAGCAGTAAGGTTCAAATCCAGGAAAGGATTTAGTAAATTTAAATTAGGGATCAGAGTCAGTAGTCACTTTTTGTACAGTATCTAGGTAGTTTCAGCAATCACTGTGAGGGGAGGGTTGGTCAAAATCCTCTTAGGCAGATAAAGCGAAGTTCCTAGAAGCAACACCCTACTCATTTTGCAACACACTCATTCAGGGCTGCAACACGGGCTTTTTTCCCCTTCTTTCCTACACATTAAAGCAAAGAAGCAAAGCAAGAACAACAGTGAAACTTGTGAGTTAAGTTTACATCACTGACAGGAAACACAAAAGTCTGGTTTCTAGGTCCTTGTCCAAGATCATTAAAAAACCCCCAGTAAATTACAAGTAAACTTTTCTCTCTGCCAACTCCCTGTAACCCTCAAAGATTAAACCTTAAATTATGAATAACACTTTAAAACACGGGTAGAACCTGTATCTAATTCGAATCCAATGTACAGAAAATGTAAATTGTATGCTATAGACAATTTTTGTTTTCAAGGTAAGGTCAGTTGATCTGCTTTCAGTACTGTCAAACTAGTAAAAACATTACTTTCCTTAAGTGGAAGAAAGTGTATAGCCTCCATTTGAGAACCTTTCAATCCATTTTAGAGCTACAGCAACTCTGAACAAACAGAATACTTCTGGATACATCAACATTTCCAGATTACGTTTTGGCTAGGACAGAAGAAGAGACACATTTGCTGATGAAGTGAAGACTGTATCAGTCTTAACAGTATTTTCTGCTAAGATATCAGACATACATTTTAGGTCACTCAGGAGAACTAATCCTAAGTAAAACTGTAATTTAAACTGACCCAGTGATGCATAACATCACATGCTGCCTCAGATTCTGATTCATCTTTAATTTAACTTTATTAGCAGAGGTCAGCACTTCTGAATGAGGGTTCTATACACATTAAAGTGATCTGAGGCAACACACCTACAAGTTCCTTCCCTTCTATTCCTTCTCCTATGTGTTCTTGACTCCTCAGGTAGGACACTAAGCTAGAAGTAATCTACTCAACCTTTCTGCCCTCTGACCAAGTTAATTTGCTAGATGAACTGCAGTGCAAATGCAAGGGAAGAGGAAGTAACTCACAAGGAGAGAAGATAAATCCCTACATGGTAAATGCTGCAGTACCTACTTTAGACATTATCATGGATTAAACTACTTCCAATGTGATGATTTAACTGAAAGCTGAACCTTTAGAAGTGATCAATGATTTCCTCAAGTCTCCAAATTAGACATGTCCTTAGAGTTGGTTCTCAGTCCATTTGAAGGTGCAAAATTAATTGACAAAATTCTAAATTACTTGAATCTTAACTAATACCAATGGTGTCTGCATTACTACTAAAATACAGGATCCCAGGTGGGACATTCAAAACAATAGTTCACAAGGAGGAGGTTAATGGCAAGCCATTAACCATGGAATCCAACTCCCCTTTACATAGGGTTCAAAATTTCTGGGTTTGATCTTCATTTAAACATTTCAGAACTTCTACTCCAATATGAAAATAATCCTAAAAAAATATATTTTTTTTAAAACAAGCAAGAATTGCTTCATTTAGTATTTTACATTACATGAATTTGCTAAAGGAACCTCTAGAATTTTTATTTTTTTTTTAATAAATATAAAAGCTACATTCAGGCAAGATAATGGAAACAGTATCTCCAAATTCCCTGAGTAGGGTGACAGTTTTTGTGGGACTAAGCAAATTTCAAACAGCAGCCATGCAGATTTCATACAGAAACACACCAAATCGATTTGCATACATAGAAGCAAGTTGTTTTACTTCAGGCACTTAGCTAAAAAAAAAAAATTTTAAAAATTAGAAATAAAAACCTAAAACCCATTCTGCAAGCCACCAAAATCGTATCAGCAGAATTATACTGTATATAAGTGCATTCCTCTAGCTGAATATTATCATAATTAAGGGAATGATAAAAGACATGAAATATTCCCAAAGAGTAAGCCAATAACCAGCAATTACTACTTGAGCATATATACCCGTAAGACATAAATAAAAACTAACAAAGGAAAGCCATCATAATGTAAGCAATAAAACATAGAACACTTACGCTCCTGGCCCTTGCCATGTCCATGTGATTGTATCCTAAGAAAAGAAGCATGACAGTTGAAATTAATGGCTGTACTTCAAACTTTTGTTACATTATACATAGTATAACTGATGACATATGACTTAAAGGTTTTCAGGGAAACTTCAGTGCCCTCTTTGCCAAAGTTCTTAGTCTCAGCTACATAAAAGGCAGGCTGATTCTTGTTAAGAAATACCCAGTAACCCAGCTTTTCAACACAGAGTATCTATATTCATAAAACATTTAAAGATCCAGGGATTCTTCAAAAGCTGTTAGCCTTGGAAAAGAAAGTTACTTACTATAAACTGAAGATCCTCAATAAGCATAGCCCATGTGCATTTTACTAACCCATCCTGCTTGACAGGGTGTCCCTCGAGCACCCCTACACTTTATTTGGACCTCTCAGCAACAGATATGAACACTCTGTAACACTTCTGAAGCATTTGGGACCTGCGGAGATAACTGAAGTCTGTTCAACTGACATGAAGCAGTGGGACAAGTAAGACCTTATGTCTTACCTCAAAACAGTATTTTTCCGGTTGCCTTTACTCATAGACCTGCCTGATCCAACAATCAAAAGGTACATTATAAGACATCTGAACTCACCAATTTACTTGAGCAAGACCAGCATCACTTTTAGATGACTGAGATGAACAGTGTGCGAAATACTGAGAGGACAAATAGCAGTGGAAGAAGTGAACAAAATGTAAATAGCAAAAAGAGAACAGAGACCTGGAAAGGAGTATGTAACAGTTGAGCAGAAGGAATATGACAGTAAAGGTCATCATGTTTTTAACTGTAGGACTAAGAAACAGCGTAGGAAAAAACTGCAATACTTGGAGACAATATTTAAGTGTAGAAGCAAGAATCAAAAAAACTCAAAATGAGTTCCAAGCTACTGTTCAGATGAACTGGGAGAAAAATGTTCAAGTAATTAATGGAAAGACAAGAGGATTCAGTAAATTCAGGTTTCTAGAAGACCAGATCAGAAAGATATTTCTATCAACCTACTGAAAGTGTTCCAGTTCAGTTCTATGCTACCATAGAAAACCATTTTAGGTAGTTTATGTGATCACATATGCCATGATCTTGAAAAATCAAGTCAAACTCATGCTTTCATTACCATTTAGAGCAAAAGGCTGTCATAAGTAAAAATGAAAGCAAGCAACACATCCATAAAAGGTGAAAAATGTGATGAATGTAAGAGACAAACAGCTTGGAGTAAGGTCAATATATCATGAAAGACTACCAAGAATTTAAATCTTGACTTTCAATAATTATTTTAAAATCAAACAAAATATGATGAAGAACTATTCTATCTCTAGCAATCAACATATGTGCATGAAAACAGACTTCTCAATGCAGTGATCTTATAGAGCTTTTAACATCTATAGTTTTACTGTTAAACAGTTTCTGGCAACTTTGATGTAACTGATAATACTGTAAGTAAACATGTTATGTTTGGGCTTCTTTTCCACAAGGAACTTTCATTTACAAACCCCAACCATTGTCATGTAGGTAGCTGATAATTTCTCTAATCATAGAATAGATCTGCCATATAGAACACCACCACGGCACTACACATCCAATGCAGCTCTGTAAATTGCAACAATGCAGAGGCAGACAAAGTGAGCTCTATAAAGGTACCTTGCCTGGGCAATTGATCACTGAACAGCTAATAGTTATTTGCAGAATCCAGACATCGTGCTGGCTAGATGACACAACAAACTCAAACAAGCCATGTATTTATCAACAATCCTGCAAGAAATTCCCAATGTGAATGTCACAGAAGACATGCATACTTTTTTTCCATATAGAACATCAGGATGCAGCAGGGATGACAATAAATGCCAGGTAGTAGAAAAGCAGGATTCTGGTCTGAAAGAGGCAGACCTATTTCGTATGAGACTCCCACCAGCACATACAATATTTTAGTGATAAGAACAGCAAGCAGAAAACAGGAAGTGATATCTTCCATACCTAGTTTAGATACCTGTTATCACAGCTATCATCTTATGCGTATGAACAGCATTTACTTTGACAGCATTCTGAGTACATTTTGAAACTTTTGTGTCTAGATAATGAATCCTTTGAATTGTGTGGAAGTATATCTTCCATATAACTTGTATTTGACACAAGAAGATACTGAGAATCATGCCAAACTTCAAACAGGAGATTGGCTGTGTTTACATGCTCAGTCAACCCTGATACACCAAAGCTGGACAAGAGATGCTGCCAAAACTCTTGTCAAATAGCACAGTCACCTGTGACACTTGGAACATAAAAAATAAAAATCTATTTACAATTATATTTAATCTATTTACAGTAATAATATTTAATCTATTTACAATGATATTTAAACAGGCATACTGCCTTTCATAATTACCAGTACTCTGATAGAAAATTCAAATGAAGAAAAAGCTGTATACACAAAGACATTTAGCGTAAAAACAAATTGCAAAAAGGACTGCTGCAGAACCTATGGATGGAGACAATAGAGCATTTATTTTAATTAGAATATACATATCATCTGTCAAGCATCCAATAGGCAAAATACTATCAGACTAGAGAAACAGAAGAAAATATTGAATTTCAGGTCTAAACAATGTTTTAAGCCTTACAACTCCATTATGCTCATGCATCAAGAAAAGTAACTTACTAACATACTGCTAAAGAAACACTGATACAGGACCAGAGACATCATCTACTGCAATCAGAAGCCCAAAGAAGAAGGGTATTCAGGGGGAAACCCTGACTAGAAAGAGTTCTTAATGGCAACCACAACTAAATGTATTTGCTAGAGAAGACCTTAATTTACATAATCTCTTTTGCTACACATTTCAGTCCACTGCAGAACCTAGTTCTTGAACAGAGTATGAGGAAAGAAACATGTAAGAGTACACACACCTACTACATTCACCCCAGGCTCTGATCTCAAAAAGCCTCCCAAAACAGCCAGCTGAAGGCAAGGCCAAGACTGTTCTCATGTGTACTGTGGAACTCAGAGCTCTGAAGGTAGATCACAGCAGGAAGTTCAAGCTAAAAACAATGTGGTGACTGCACAGAACGCTTATCTGGAATTCACTGGCTAAGCAAAGATTTTAAGAAATTCCTTCCTGAATCTAAAAGTATAATATGCAGTGATCAAACAAGACAACAAACAGGAAGCCCGGGACAATTAAAGTGTGCTAGAAATGCTGTCTTAGTGTGTAAAAACCAATGTTCTCTCCCTACCCTCTTGTTCTTACTTGCTACCTAACTCTTAGCTGCATTCTAGCCAAAATAAATCTGACCTTCATGTATTACATCATACTCCTCCTTCCTCTTCTCATTCTAACTTTGCTGAAAGTCTTTTGCAGCAATTTTGATCTAAAAATCAAATAGGAATAGCAATTACCACCCCCCATTAGTGCACAGTGGAAGTAGACTGCAAGAGGTTCAGTGACTAGGCAAGGCACTGAAAACTGATTTACAGCAACTAAAGTAGTAGGAAAAAGTAAAGTTCCATACACAGATTCAGGTCAACTCCAATGTATATCTACATAAATATTAAGAATCTCTTTTATGACATTTTGTGGTAATATGACATAGGCAGTGGGACTGCGTGCACCCTCAGCAAGTTTGCCAGTGACACCAAGCTTGTGGTGAGGTTGACATACTAGAGAGAGGTGCTATCCAGAGGCACTTGGACAGGCTTGAAAGGTGGGCGCGTGCAAACGTCATGAAGTTCAACAAGGCCAAATGCGAGGGCCTGCAGATGGGTTGAGGCAATCCCAAGCACAAATACAGGCTGGGCAAAGAATGGGTTGAGAGCAGCTCTGAAGAAAAGGACTTGGAGGTATTGGTGGATGAAAAACTGAGTATGAGCCAGAAATGTGTGCTTGCAGCCCAGAAAGCCAACTGTATCCTGGGCTGCATCAAGAGAAGTGTGGCCAGCAGGTCAAGGGAAGGGATTCTCCCCACCTACTCTGCTCTTTGTGAGACTCAATCTGCAGTGCTGTGCTCAGCTCTGGGGCCCCAGTAGACAAAGGACTGTTCAAGCAGGGCAGGTCCAGAGGAGGCCACAAAGATGATCGGGGGCTAGAGTACCTTCCCTGTGAGGACAGGCTGAGAGAGCTGGTGTTGCTCAGCCTGGAGAAGAGAAGGATCTGGGGAGACCTTATAGCAGCCTTCCAGTACTTAAAGGGGGCCTACAGGAAAGATGGGGAGGGACTCTCTATCAGGAGTGTAGTGATAGAGCGTGGGCTAAGGGTTTTAAATTGAAAGAGGGTAGATTCAGATCAGATATGAGGAAGAAATTATTTCCTGTGAGGGTAGTAAGGCACTGGAACAGGTTGCCCAGAGAGGTTGTGGCTGCCCCCTCCCTGGAAGTGTTCCAGTCCAGGTTGGACGGGGCTTTGAGCAGTCCGGTCTAGTGGAAGGTGTCCTGGCCCATGGCAAGGGGGTTGGAACTAGACGATCTTTAAGGTCCTCTCCAACTCAAACCAGTCTATGATTCTGATCTTCACAAGCATTTGTAACACTTGTTTAATTTAGATATTGTAAACAAACACTATAATTGGCAGATATAATTTACACATCTGATTTATACTGAAGCACTACTCCAAATTAGCTTGTGTCTAGCATTCCTTAGACAGCCATACAGTGAATAAAAAACATGGACAAAACACCTTATGAAGCTGCTGTAGTCCCCAACACATTATTATCATTTAGATAGTAGAATTCATTTGTGACTAACACCCCCACAGGCAGGAGGTGCAGAAACATCTTCCAGCAACAAATGATAATAAGAAAATTCCAGCATACACTGCAGTAACAGGGAGCACACAGCAACATAGATCCTTGACAGAAATTTACATTTGTCTTGTTATTTGTACAGTACTTGTAACAACCTGGATAACTTTCAGAGCACTGTTTTAAAGTAACCTAAAAGAAGCAGAAACATTTAAACTGTCTCAATTAAGACTATTTATATTGCTAGAGGCTTAAGGAATATATACTTAGCCAATACCCATTTATTAATGCTTCCCAAATTGCTAAACCTAATTATCCAATCTAAAGATTACAGAAGTGCAATGTATTTAGAAGAAAATGCCCCATATTTACTGCAAGCTGAACTTACCAGTTTGTTTGGATAACGTAAAACCACTGGCTGTACAGGAACTCCAGGAATAAATGCTCCTAGAATGCACATAAAACTCATCATTACTTTATAGTGGCTTTTGGTACAGAAGAAACATTGCAGTAAAGGAAAAAAATTACACAATTACTGGTATTTTTTTTACTATCAACTAATTCCTATGCATAAAACCCAAAAGTAGCCTCAAAAGCAATCAAAAAAACCAAGCACTCAAGAATGACAATGCATCCCCACATTTTCAGAAGATTAAAAAAATGCTTGCTTGCTTGCATTCTCTAAATTATCCTCTACTACTTGCAATAATCGTCACGTACACAAGTCAAAGCTCAGTACCAAATTCAGCTTGATAAATTAATAAAAGAACATGAGTATGTGCAAGACAGGTAAGTCAATAAATTAACAGTGGTTTTCAGTGAAGAACCTAAGCTTTCTTATGCAAAAGAAGTTTTCCATTTTTAGTTGATCAACACCGATTTACTGGAAATTTATCATCTATGAAGTAACAGAATCAATTTAACTTCTTGTCTCCCACTTTAATTCCCCTCAGAAGGGCTTACTTGTTTATTCTGCAGCTATGAAAAATCTAATAGAAGGTATTAAACTAGAGCTACTGTACAGAAGTATCCATTTCATATGAAAATTATAGTTCTGATAAGTAGCACAGATCTATAAATGTCATTTGCTAATAATTTTCTTGGTTTCTAGCACAAAGATTAAATAAGCATAACTTTCTTGCTCAAGATTTCTCTAAACATCTTTTTCTCATGCAAACAATTAATAAAGACAGTTTTAATTCAAACTGTTTTTTACAGCCACTTGCTAAGTTCTGCCCAATATTTTGATTAAAATTAAGAACTGAACAATGGAAGTATACTGTATTCTTGGCATTACATTTGCTTTACTGACTACTTGCAGAGATGTAAAAGTAATTGTTAATGGAGTATAAACATCTTTAAATGAAGGTTGTCTGAATGGGATCCTGCAGAGATTTAGTTCTTGGCCCAGTGGTACCTTCTATTAAAGTCTCCAAAAACAACCTAATCAACTTCTGAAGGAATGTGAAGATGACAAAATCGACCCCTGTTTAAGTGAAACTAGACTAGTGTGTTTGTATGACTAGCTTGCACAAACATAAACCCAGAAAACTGTGTAGTAAGAGCAAGGTGTGTAGGTCCCATGAGTAGAATGGGGAAAGGCATCCTGAAAGCAGTTATGTGAATAGAGACCCGAAGTAATTTTATGTAAGTGAGGAACTGTGAGTTAAAGGATTTCTGGAAGGCTGGGTGGATACAGTAGCAGGTTCCAGTAAGAAAAGTGAGACAGTCAAGAGGCAGACAGCAGCATGTACTAGACCAGAAGATAGGAAGATAGAGTGGGGATTTGAGGCAGAAAGTGTATGGTGCCTGAAATGTCTATAGGACAGAAGGGAGGGTAGGAAATTACAGCTTTAATGAAGGATTCACGCTGGTTTTCAAAGCATGGCCAAGATTCAGGTGAGGGGAGAGAGAGAGAGAGATATGGAGAATAGAGAGCGAAAGAAATGGATGTTCTCATAACCACCACTCATCTAAGGGGGTAAAGAGCTGAGAGGGGAGGAAGAAAAGCTTTTTTGCATGTTTGTTCAGGAGACAATACTGAGATTCCTTCAGCCAAATGAATCAGTGCGAGAAATTACAGTGCTCACTGTGTCATATTCTAACCAGCATTTGTAAGTTGTAAGCAACACGGAATATGAGACACACAGATCAGAACACAATGAGCTAGACAATAACCTAGAAAGTCAAAACACGCATTCACAACTGCCTCATTCACTGCAACCTCCTCATTCATCATCTCCCTCTCTACATCATAAGTTTTACATTAAAAATTGGTGGTTCACTGCAGTATTAGCACTTCTCCCTACTGTAACTGCAGTTTACAGCTGCAGTGTTCAGTGTTATACCCTCTACTAATTTGGTAAGCCAAAAAGGCAGATACTAATGGAAAGGAGCTTAGAATGTGGATGTTAAATAAACTAATATTGTAAAAAATGACAGGGTCTGTTACAGCGCTATACCGGCAAGATTCTTTTGCCATCTTCATCAGAATGCAACTCAACAGAAGAGTTGTAGAGGAATGAACCACATACAACACAGCAACAAATGTTGGAGCATCCTGAAATAGATACATGCTGATACACTGTAAAGCTTAAGGTATCTAAATGCTGCATGACAAACCCAAGATAGGATATGGAGGGGGCAAGAAAAAGACAGACAACCACAAACAAAACCACTCCAGTAATAAACATTAGTCCTTCAGCTCATATGTATCTCAGTAGCCAAGATAAACAAAAAAATCTGAATTATTTAAAATGTTCTGCTCAACAGTGGAACCACAATCCTTTTGTAGCATAAGAAAATTTCTATTCCAGTTCCACCCTACTGAAAGATTAACTCAACTTCTGCAACAGCAAGCAAATTACAATGCAAGTGGTATTTCAGGAAATGAAGACAAGAACATTCTGTAGAGAACAGAGAAATAAGCATCATACCTACCAGGTTTGAATGTAATTAGACAGGATCGGTTTGTGCAAGTGCCCTCTGGGAATATCATTATCTTGAAGTAAAAAAAAAGTTGACTTTTAAGAACTATTTCAATGTGATTTATAAACACATCTTTTCAAAGCTAACATTAACTGATTACAGTGAAAAAGTTTTCAGGGAAAAACAGTTCAGTTAGAGTAACAAAAAATAGTGTTCAATAAGTCAAGTAAAGTTCTGTCTCAGTAATATTTTTCTTTATCTGTGTATTTGCCTCTTTCTTGGCCACCAATAATAGTTCTATTCAACTGGAACAGTGACAGCAGCCAGAAACACTTGTGAATACAAGAGAATTTTCCTAAAAGGTTTTGGTGCTGGTCAAAACATGTTCTGTTCTACACCAAAACAAAATTCCTGCTCCCAAGCTACCTGCTTACAGTCTAAGAAAAGGAAGACTTATTTTCTTTCTGCATTCATTACTTGGCATGTGCACAGATGTCAGAATGATCAAGGTTGAAAATATCTAAGCAGAATTCTAACACAGAAAAAAATGCTCAGGTTGAACCAAATTCAAAGAAGAGGTTTGATTGCAAAAAAGTTTCAGACAGCAAAAGGCCAAGAACTGCTGAAATTTTGTTGAGTTACAGAACAAGACATTCAAAGGAACTAAAGGAAATAAATACATATAGGGGACAGACTAGAATCGACATTACTAGTTTTATTGCCCACTCTGGTACTAGCTTGCCGGATATTCTGAAAATCACCTCAGCTCTGCAACTCAGTTTCTTCATCTGCAAGAATATTTACTTTTTCAAGTGCTTTGAAACGTATTGATGAAAGTCATGATGTGAAAGATGTGTATCACCTTTCTGTCCCATTGTTTATAATGTTGCTGTAGTCCAATATGTGGACGTAACTACTGTAGTAGTAACAATGCCATGAAAGACATACTATATCTTAATCTCAAAAATTCACAAGAAGAATGCTTCAAATTTTCAAAATAATCACATGCTTCTAGAAAATGGAGATGTTTGATAGTCATCCCTTCCTTTCCCTTACTCTCTTCCGAGGCACATTATAAATAGTCACATCTCAGGTGCAGAAAAAACCCTGAGCAATTTATTTTAGCAATGTTTTAATCATGTGGACCAATAGAGGTGTACCCTGGTTACTGGAATGTCTAAATTGCTTGGGCTGTCTTGTCCAGTATCACATCTCCAATGATGACTGTATGCCAAAATCCTGAGCAGGGCAAGAACACATAATACTCCCCCAGATACTCTGCTGAGCACCTGATTAGCATCTTCTCTGAGGACTTTCTACAGCTGCTATTGTCTATCTATTTAGTATAGAGTTGTCTTCCCATGTACTTATTCAGTCCCTCTTGAAACACACTTTAATAAAAAAAAAAAGTGTCTTGTGCATGTAAGAGTCTTACATTGTGTTTTCTAGAAAGAGAGGGGGGAACTCCCACCCCCATAAAACATCTAAAGCATCTTAGAAGGAAAAAAAGAAAATTGCATATCCAAAGCCTGGAAATGCCAAATATCAGCTGTCACACAGTAGTGGCATACAGTACCTGTGGCCATTTACCATCAGACTGAGCACGCCTCTTTATCTCTTCAACAGTTCTCCTGCGAGAATCCTGGTCTGACCGAGATACAAATACTGGTCGGATGTATTTAATTAGAGCTGAAGAGGAAGGAAAACAAAAACAAGTAAACCATCCTTTATTTCCCCTTTGAAAAGATTCCCTCCCCTGCCTGCACCCCCTGTAGACCTCTGGACAAAAAATTTTGGTACAAGTACATAATTACTTTACTACATTACACTGCAAACTTAAATACTCAGCTGAATTATTAGTTTCATTGAAATATTTTCATGAATTCCTGTGAGGAAAATAATTTTCACAGTTTTCACACTTTGTACTTGTTCAATTTTTAATAGACCATTACACATACATCACAGAATTTAACACATGATTTCACATATTATGCATACTTTTCTGCAACAAACCAGCTGTGGCTGACTATAGGCCATTTCCTCCTATCACAAAATCTATAGCCACCCCCAAGCCAGCAAAGTATCAGGAATCTCCCTATGCATGTGCTTCCAAAGGACATCCTGTGGGCAAAACTGTCACTGTCTTTAGAACTTTTGTCTTCTATGACAGCTCAGCTTCACTGAAAGTACACCACCAAAGATATTCTATACACAGATTATGTTATCTTTCCTGGGGAAATCAGCATCATCAAAAGAAAAAGCATGCTTATTTTCTGAGCTGTCATCTGTTTGCTTGTTCCTCATACTACACGAATCCGATCTCAGACATTCTTCCTGACTCAGTGGGAAACACACATAGCCAGACACAAAATAAGCCTGAGCAAGAATCAGAAATCAGCCCACAATATCCTCTCCATGCATGTCTGTCACAAGGACACCGAGGCCCACTTACAAAATAAGTAGCATATACAACTCTTGCAGTGTCAAAAAGCATTACAAGAAAAGCACCTTCAAATATACTATTTCATGGTTTTACTTAAGCAGGCAACCTTTTTACCACTTTTGTATCTTGTAATCTTATTTAAAAGTTTAAGAGTCACTAAATCACTAGCTATTCTATGCGCCTCAAATACAAATATAAAATACAGTTTTCATCTTTCCAATCACTGCAAGATCTGTTTGCTGACACTAGTTGTATAATCAATCTTCTTTTGTCAAAGATAGACCTGCTGCATTAACAGATCAGCCAGTGCTTAAAGTGTGAAGAAAAAATAAAAAAGTGTAAGGAATTACAGTCCTGTAGTAGCCAGCAAAAGCTGCTGGTTCTGTTGTTAACCCACTGGCAATTTAGCCAGCAACTCACCAAAATCCTGCTATGGTTCTATGAAGCTAATCCATCACACCTTACAGCAAGTTGTCAAACATTCAGCCAGCCTCAGAAATACTGCTTTTATCTCACAAGTTGTTGAAGTTTAGGAGACAGTATATCAGAGAAAAATTATTCTTGCACTTTTTCCTACTTAGACAATATTCATGGAACAATGCTTGCTGGGGGAGCAAAGATGATCATGGGCCAGCTAGGGTTACTGCTGTGGAAAGGTTAAAAAAAACAAACAGAAAACTCAAAACAAACCACAAAACAACAATACACAAAAATCCAAAAACAAACAAAAACCCAGAACAAGCTATAAAAAACACGAAGGAAGCCATACTTGGTTTCATGACTGTTCATTTTGTTCTTAGTGATGCTAGTCCTGAGTTTTTCTGTAAAAAAAAAAAAAAAAAAAAAGTAAAAGAAGACAAAACACCTTCAAACATCCTCAGCCTTCACCCTGAAGTTTCTTTTACATTAGGCCCAAATGATGGAATTTAGGTTATTTCAGGCCAAGGAGTGAACAAGGTAATTCCAGAGCTCTGAGGCTGGTGACTGAGGATGTGTCACAAGCAGGATCTTCTTTATAATACACAAAAGTAGGTAAGCAGATAGATTCTATTCAGGGCAGTATGACAGATACATAAGACTGTAGACAATTTACCAATTTTGAGTCTCTGAACACTAATGTAATCTGTGTCCGAAAAATGGACAGGCAAGCAGTGTTAACCCGGGAGATTTACTGTTACAACCTTCCCAAGTCCAAGCTACTAAGATGTTACCAAGCTCCAAAATAACACAGTGCAAATTATCTTACAAACGGACACCACCACAAACAGCAACACACTCATGTGCAAAGAACTCTGATAGCATGTTGAAAAAGAACAGACAACTGAAAGCTTGGTTTCTTATGGATTTATCCTGCCTGTTGAATTATACAATATAAAACAGGCTGCAAGACAAGTTTGTTTCTTTTCTCACAGTTCAGACGCTATTTTTACGTGGCTTGCAGAACTTAGTATCTTTTAAACCATCAGATTTCTTTCAAATATGTGTGAAGCCATCACTATTTCGACTCATCACATTAAATCTTAGCTTAATAGGGTGATTGTATTAAGACTTATTTCCTTAGGGATGAGACTAAAAAGCTGACAGAATTCTTTTTTTAACATCAAACAGCAACTTAAGATCCTATAAGACACCTACTACCAAGCCCTTATTGGCCAAGTCCAACAATTTAAGTGAGAGTGAAATTCTTAGTTATCAGTAAGAAGCTGAAGGTACATACCAAGGGAAGGCTAGCTCTGTACTTGTCTTTCCTTGTAAGATCTATTCATAACCACTTCTGAAAACAGAGCACAAGGCTACACAGACCTTTACTCTCACCATGTATTTTCATGTTCAGTAAATAGACAGGAATCTGAAAATTCAAAGGCTGTACCAAATCAATCTATCATAAATAGTCAGGAGCAGGGCCAAAGGTCTGTAAAGAGAAGCTAAAAAACATACCAAATAGGTGGGCAAGATGAGACTGCGATGAGAAGACAAGTCAAAACATAGGGAAGCCTGGAGACAGTACTGTAAGGTAGTATATGAGGCAAGGAATAGCAGGACTAGAGCTAAGTCAGGGCAGGAGCAAAAAGCAGCATTTACAAAAATGCTTCAGACAGCTGGCATACTGAGCAACTAAAGGAAACAAGCAGAACTGTGCAATATGCTTAATAAATAGAACATAAACTTAGCCTTCTCCGCTCATCAATTGAGCTGTCCAAGACCAATTGTTACCAGATAGCAAAGACAAGGTTCTGAAAGATTAAAACCACCCTTAAATTATAAATTCTAGTGTACAATGGCAGATAATCCCTCAGTTCACAAAACTGACCTTGCCAGTGTCATTATTCTTGCTTTTTCTTTAGTGGTGGCAGTCCTACTCAATGTAGTCACTCTCCTCCCCAGTTGCAGCTCATTACAAGTCATTCTGGAGACAGGTGACACATGCTGTACTCCACCTTCTTGAGCAAGTACTTGCAATTCAAACAGTACTGCCAGTAATTCATCAAAACCTGCACCTTGCAAGGCAGCCAGAATGCCACAATTACACTAACCAATGGAAAGTTGTTCTAGCACAAAACCAGCCTTTTTTAAGACAGCCTGTAAAAATTCACAGAATCATCTAGGTTGGAAAAGACCTTGAAGATCATCTAGTCCAACCATTGAGAGTATTGCTTTAATTAATGGCAGGGTGGCAGCTCCAACTGATTTCAGAACCATCACTCCCATGCAATCATTTCAAGCACCAGCTGATGCATAAGCAGAAAGTTTTCTTTCTGATGAGCTGAACACACACAATTGGTGTCAGTGAACTTCTCAGGATTAACAGGGGGAAAAAAGGGTATTACACCTCTCTATTTCTAAGCAAATTTGGGTGATGAAACCTTGTTTCAAATCAAGACATGGAGTGCTATTTAACATACAATAGAAAAAAAGTATTTTAAAAAACCATTTAAATGATGCTTGACAGTTACAACCATACAGTAGATAAAGCTATGCTGACAGCATCACTACTGGTCTACAAGATGTCAGAGAACACAAAAAGCAACACAATGGCAATGTGGCACTAAATACTGTTCTAAAATGTATCCATACACACATTTTTGAGTAAGCAGCTACATTTTCACCACTGAAAAAAAAAAAGCAGAGTGACAGATTTGTGGCAAAAGTAGTCAATGCCGAACCTGAGGCTTTCACTTGGCCTCTCCTCCAACCAACACAAAATCCCATCACATACATTTCTCTGACACATTGAGATGGCAGCCTATAAAGCCAGTACAACTGACTATTTGCATTTACATGGAGGTAGGCTGTGTAATACAGGTTGACTTGCAGCAGGATAATCGTTTACATCAATTTTTTCCTACTTTGGAAAAAAATACAGATTCTTTTTCTAATTGCTGTTGCCCTCTTGTGCATTGTATATTTAGAGCTTACAAAACCCATGAAGGTTAAAGGTTGAAAAGTGCTATCTTGGGCTTAGTTTTTAAGAGCTGCCTTACTCAAATGAACATGCTCACAAAGTGCTGAACTCACACCTTTTCTAATGAAGTAATATCTAATATGAAAACTGCTCTTTTCTGAAGAGAAATCTGCAAGGGGCTCTGAAATCTTTGGGGGAAAAAAAAAATTCATTAAGGTTCTAGAATAAAATAGTTTCCTGTGTATATGGACACAGAGACTTGGAAAACTTAAGCCCACATACAACAAATAAACAAAGTTGTATCAACGAACAAAACTAAAGTCAACCAAAATTAGGATCTTTCCACTTGGAGTTTTATTGTAGTTAGAGAAATAGTGTTACTGTAGTCATGGTACTCTTCTAGAGATTTGTAAAGTTAGTGCTATCTTATTTAGAGCAATTATACACAAATACACACTTTTCTGACCCAAGCCTGAACCAACCCCTAAAGCTAAATAGGTGTTGAGAACAACTTCTCTGCATTTGACTAAATGCTTAGTAGATAGAGCACCTGACAGAACAAATACAAAGTATTCCTGATATACAGGCAGTGTTAATGAGAAAGTTCTCACAATTTCCAAAGAGAAAGGCAGAAAACATGCAGTCTGTAGGACAAGGAGAGGTCAGTAGCAAGAGGTAAATAATAAAGAGATTTTCTTCAGCTTTAACAGAAGTAAATTCCATGGTATTTGGGCTGGTCTTTCAAAATGTGATCTATTTCCTTTAATGACTTCTTGACAGACAAAGACACTTTTCATATCACAAAGATTGCTGTTTGCTCTCACACCTGCAATACCTGTATGAGGGCATGACTCTGTTTTAGTTTTCTGTTGCCAGCCTAAAAAGTAATTTATGAAGGCAGTTGTGTTGGTTTGCAGGTTTCCTATATACCGTAGCTTACAGTTTTCATAAATTATATTAACTAGGATCATTTTAAAAGCAATGGTGGTTTAGGCATTCCAGAAACAATTTAAATGAGAAGTAATTATTACTAAGTTTATGGTGAACTAAAAATAACCCAACTAATGCATCCAGGATTCCAACCCAAATATAGGCATACCTATAAGTGACAGTGCAACTATTTCAAGTCTCTCCAAGAGTGCTCCTGTGAGGACTGAAATATTGCAGGATCATCTGGGTGCCCACAGCCTGAAGGAAACTCTGAGTTTTGAAACAAAAGTTTTTAAAGAAAAAGATAAAATGGATAAGTTTCACAATTACTTCGAGATACCCCTCAGAATTTGGGAGTTCATTTGTGTACAGAAGGAAGACTACAACCACAACAACACAGCATACGATGCTGGCATTCAAGCTGGTGACCTTAACAGTGTTTAAGTTGAGGATTTACAGCATATAAAGAGTAGAAATCTGTAATGCCTTCACCTTACTACAGCAGGTTTTTCCAAAAGGGGTTTAAGGACTGTTTTGATGAATCTCAGAAGTATCTAAATGTGAGGTCCTCACTGAAGAGCTATGGGTCTATTACAGTTTGAATCCTTGTGTGCTAAGGAAGGTATGGGGCAGGGAGGGGAAGCAAATGGGGTGGAGGACTGAGTAGCATAACAGAGCTGATGAGTAAATAATTTGTCACCTTTTGAGTTCCTATATGAAAACATACCCATCTACCAGAGCATAAATGTTTCCCACTGAATTACTTATTTCTTTCCTTTTAGTCATGATGCTCAAGAAAGTTTACTAGATGTGGAAAAAATTGTCCACCACAGAATTTTTACAGCACAGTATATTCTGCCTTCCTCTATAGTTCTTTTGTATGCTGTCAAGTACAAATGACCTCCTTCCCCTTTATAAACTTAAGATAATATATCATCCATTCATTTCACAGGTACCAACTTCCTCTTTTTCAGAGGTTGGGGTTACAGATACTGAGAATTTGCTTTAAGTTTAAATTAGATTTTCACCTTAAATTTAGTTTTTAGACGTTCAGACCACAGGAGATGTTTGAACCACACAAGTTAACCAACAAAATCCCCACCAAATCATATTTACTGTCAAATCCCTTTTCCTTCTTACTGAAGTATTTCTGAAGTAGCACTGACCACTTCAGCAATAAAAAAATAACTTTTTATCCAGGCTGCTTTACCAGCCAAAAATAAGTCAGTGAAGTGTAACTATCCAGAATTTATGCAAAGAGCTCATCCTGACTTGAGGTGGAGACAAGCAGAAAAAAAAAAGGAAAGTTTAAGGACCTGTGCTGATAAATGAACTGATCTAACTTCTTCAGTCAATATAAGGTGCAACAGATTTGTAGATCTCATCTTCCCTGGGCTGCACATTTTACACTAAAGTAGTCCATCAAACTTCACATCTCCAACCTACCAAAACACTGGAAAGCCACTGTGCAGAAATACACGTCCTTCTTCAGCATCGTGGTGGTGTGCTCCATCTGTTTTGGCATTCTCTACTTATCTGATACTGATCTTTTTGATGACCACTGACATCTCATTTATATTTGGGCAAGCAGTTCCTCCCCAGAACTTGTTAACCGTGTGTGTGTGTGTGAAGTAGGTAATTTTCTTCACTACTGACTCACAACTCTTCAATCAGACCAATCAGAGCTTTTTTTATTTGTTTTCCTAAAAAAGGGAAGTTGTCTGAAAAAGTCACAAGACTTAAGTCTGCTTCTGAAATTGGACTTTGTGGTCCTGGAGAACTGCCTTCAAGACAGCACTGAAACACTCATACACAAACACACTTGTGGAATACTTCCAATTCCATATCAACAGGCTTTTAATCATCTGGACTTAAAAGTGGATCAAAATTTTGATACTCCATGACTGGCAAACTAAGGGTACAGCAATACAGGCAACTTCTCCAGAAACCTATTAAAATACTTTGCGAACCAATCTTGGTAACCAGTTGCATCAGATCTTTTTATGCCTGAAAAGCGCCCAATCCCTCCAGTACACAATGTACAATGTCCTTGACAAACACTGTCATTACATCAAAAAGCCAAACTTACTTATATCATATTTGGATATTCTCAGTGAAGATCTACTCTTCATCCAAAGTCCTCATCCTTGAAAACTATCTTCAAATCTCCTCTGCTGCTTAACTTTTTACATGCTGAAGTCTGTTCAGAGTTAAATGAAGTTTATTCAAAACTTCCCAGAAGATTCTGAATGACCATTAACAAGACTCAATTAAGAGATAGCAAGGTTAGGATTATCAATGGCTGGCTCCAGAACTTCACTGGACATGGTACAAGTTTGTAAGATTTAAAAAACTGAAAAACATAAAAAACCAATTCTAATCTCTCTGGGATAAATTCAAGATGAATGTCTAGAGTGTTGACAATTCACCAAGCAATCCAAGAAAAACATGAACACCTTTTCACAGATAGCATAAGAGTGATCCAATAACATGAAATACATTTTTGTGTGTATAGAGAAGTGTAAATACATTGGAATTAAAACACTAGATCGTAGGAGAATAGTCAGTACCATCTGCTTCACAGAAAACCTCTTTCAAGCAGGAAAAAAAAACCAACTTAAAAAAAAATCACAACTTCACTCCACTGGAAAGTTTTTACTAAATATTAAGCCAAACTAATTACTACAGTGATTACTCACCTCTCTGTTAAGGTCTATTTACTTTAATAAACTGCTGTAATTAATGTGCTCATATAGAAGTGTTCCTCTAAAAAACAAAAAAAGTTTTTGAACTCTGAATCCCACTTACGACCCTTGCCATGCCTCGCTTCTGTGGTATTTTTCTGAATGCTTCATAAAGAACTACACAATTTTTGTGGCTGCATGACATATAGCCAATGCAGCTATACAGGACAAAATACTCATTTACTTGACTGCACTGTACATTCCAGTAATATTCCATCAAATCACAGTATGCAGTTTTTCTTGGGTTTCTGTTTTTCCTGTAACTGGTTTTGCTCACACACATGAACAAAATCAAGTGAATAATTTTTAAAATTTATTGTAGTAAGTCTAGAATTTCAATTGAATCCTTTAAAAGTTAGCTTAAAATTAAATTAGGTATATAGGAAATAGTTTGAACTATATGATATGTTTTATCTGTGCCACATTCAAGGTAACTACCACCTCTAAATCCCTACAGGCTCTCCTCAGGCTTTCCCACCAGTCCCCACTGAATTTATTACATGGGATAGTTAAGCAGCTATTATAGCGTTCTGTCAAATGCCATTCTGCTGTTTCATCACATTCCAGTAATACACCATGGCCTGAAGTTACCTCATCTAGTTTGGGTCCTCCAAACAATCCAGCTGCAAGTAAAGGAGAGCACCACATGGATTACTTTATTTTGCTGACCTAGCAATTATCAAACAGTTAACTGAGTCAGCTGAGAAAGATGTTAAATCTGCCCTTGCTTCTATGGCTGAACTGCTCCTAAAGCCCAAGCTGGCCTGGATACACCTATACTATACAGGAGTGTCAGTATACTGTCTCACAGCAGTATCTTCTTTCAGCATTGGACAATGGAGTTCAATTTCTTTTTGTTTTCACATTATGCTTGTTTGTATACATTTGTTTTTAAAAATGCATGCCTTCACCCTTTTTGTTCAAAGGATCTATTAATTTTTACACCGATTTTTTACTGCCACAAACATCTACTAAACTCTACAAGTCAGATATTCAATGAAATTGAGATACAGCTACAGCTCTGGTCTAAGCTTTACCTGAGACCTATATACCAAGGGTTTCCCCCCTACAAAGAGGTTCCAGATGTAAGCACTCACCACTGGTGGCCATGGCTCAGTTTCTGGTTTTGAACATGTCCTTAAAACCACATTGATAATGAAATTTTAGGAGTTTGTCAACACCAACAGCCTGATTCTACCTAGTTGTGAAGGAACTCAAAGCTTTTGTTCAGACTTTAATCAGAGTCCCTACTCAAGGACAAAGTAAAATCTTTTCTCCTTTTTACACTACCCTTAAAAATCTACACAATGAGACACAGAAAGAGTCTTTGAACTTTGCTGGTCTCTAGACACAACACAGTGGGTTTCTTCAAATTGCTTCTACACATGCACTTTGAAGTCTACAAGCCTAAAAGCTTAAAAATATTTCTGTCACAACTGCACCAAAAATCACAAGTCTCTCAAGCTTTTGTGAGAAGATACATTGATAACTCCAAAGACAATATTCAAACACTACTGACTTAGGCATCTGCATTTCTTAATCTGACTGAACAACAATCTGCTCTTGCTCATCTCTCACACCCTGCCTGAAACAAACTTACTGACGCATGAAGGATTAGCAGCACTCCCTCAAGGCAGGGCACCATTCAGAGCAGACAACATTCCTAAAACATATTTCTGGGATGGCACCCCAACTTGCACCAAGAAAGAAGATTTGGTGGAATTCCTTTATAGCTTCACCCTTCGCTTCTGTAGGCCCATCCTAACTTTTCTATTTGTCAGGTCTTAAAATGTTATTTCACTGTAAATTTAACTATGAGTTCTGTAGGATTGTTTTTACTCCATACAATGATTCAACTCGAGAGAAAGGGGAAAAAAAACCATCAACAGTTTTTTCTAATGACATTCAAAAGTAGTCCAGTAAAAAAAAAAAATCTCACCATATATTATAGCATAATTTTCTTTGTTTCAGGCCTTCTCATACACAACTAGTGAACTTCATAAGGAATCACTTTTAATTGTTCTTGAAAAATTACATATCTGTCAACTTACTTCCCCAAACAGGAATATCTTTGCTTTCTGCTTTCATCACAATGGAGGCAAAGGTCATAGTCACTGGAATGGCGTCAAAGTATGAAGAATGGGGAGCCACAGTTAATATTGCTGCTTCCGCTGGCAATGCCCGTCTGCCTTTTACACTTATCCAGTGGAATCCACCAGCAAGCCACATCATTCTCATGATTGCTTTCAGCAAAATATCCACTATCCTGTAAAGAGTTGAGAAAACCGTTATGCTGCTACAGGAATACCTTAAAATAACAAGAAGAAAAAAGTTACATAAAAACTTCTTAAGCATGACAAAAGTACAGATAGGATATGCTGCTTAAACATAGCAGGAACACTGCATAGACTGTTTTCTCTTTCTGAGCAGATTTAAGACCACTTTCAAACAAGATGCTCTTCAATTTAACTTCATGCCTGAATATTATTGCTTTTTAATCACAGAAAGTTTGTCATTATTTTGATTCAGACTATGACCAGAGTTTTTTCTATACAATGTCTAATAATGCTTTCTACTAACACCAAAACCACTCTAATAAACTGAGTCCTGAAAAAATGCTATTAGGATACTGCTAAAATGCAACAACTCTTGACTCCTCATTTCGAGTTTACATAAACAAAGCAGTGGAGAAATGTAGGGCAGGTATACTCAAACACAGGGATGCCTACAGAACATGTTTGGGAGCTCTGGAAATATTTTACTTTCTTTCCCTTTTCCCCCCTCTTCTTCTAAATCATTTGGGGTTTTTTTTGGTTTTTGTTTTTTTTTTTTTTGGTTTTGTTTTGTTTTGTTGTTGTTGTTTTGTTTTTTTGGGGTTTTTTGGGTGGTGGTGGTGATGGTGTTGGGGGGGGAGAAGTTTCCCTGCTTGTCTTTTCATGACTGTTAGACAGTTTAAAAAGAGAAACATTTACTTTGAACCAACAGAGTGCAAAAACCAAACATCACTATTTGTTATACTCACAGGGATTGGAGGCTGGAGAGCAGGGTGACACTGAAAACTGGATGAAATGGGGGATGGACAATCTAAAAAGCTTCCAAATAACTGTATGTAAGATTGAAGGCAGTGCATTATCCCTTTAGTTACTATACTGATAAAATTCCAAATTAAACATTAAGTGGTATGCCTCTGTGGTTCTCAATCTCCTTCCCTCCTGTGATGCAAATACAGTCAGCTTCCCTCATGCTAGTGTCAGCTCCAAATTTTAAGTTCTCTACAGAAGAGGTGATACATTCCTCCTTTCTTGCTCCTCAAACAGCAGTTTTCATGGGTGGGTGAACAGTGTCTTACATTCTACCTTAATTAGCATTCCAATATCAATGCAGGCACAGACTTATTAATAAGCACCAAAGCATGGGGCAAGTCCTCAGAGAATCAACAGAAGTTTTGTCAATTCATCACAGGGTGAAGCAGTTGAAAACAACAATTGAGAATGAGAATATGAAATCTGGGCACATTCCATAGTGTCAATCTTCATAACAAGAAGTTGACATTACAGGAATAACTGAAATTGAAGGATGTCACAAGGAAGCTTCACACTACATCCTCAATAAAGGTAAGAGACCAAAGATGATCCATTTTTCTCCCAGTAATTTTTGGGTCACCTGGTAAATCAAACAGTTGGGTTATTTTTAGTTTCCCACCTGAGGAAAAGTGTTTAAATATTAATTTATGTTTTTCTTTTTAAAAAGCAGGTCTGTGAGACAGGTATCAGGTATTTCCAATCTTCTCTATTTCAACCTGCTGAACTAAATAATGATTCTCTCAATATTTCACCAAATCAGTGACTCACTTTCGCCACCAGGAGAGAGGCTTTTCAAGCTCTTGCTCGTCAGATCCCATTGAAGCAATGAATGCAAAAGGCCAGGCCAGCAACATCATAAAAGCAGCAAAAAAGAGTCGGATAGGAAACAGAGTCAAGGTCATGAAGGCAATCTGCAAAATACAAAACAAAAGCATTATTCTAACACAATCTTGGACTGAAAAAGTCAGTAATTCCTAGAAACTGATCTGAAGTCTTAACTTCAAAATATCTAATGTTAAAAGCATCAGAACACACTTCAATTCCAAGCAAATAATTGTGGTGTATGAGTTACAATACTGTATTCACCGATGTTGATGACAGTTGAAACACTGCACACTCTTTAAAGCTAATGAAGACTTGGCTTTCCACACTTCTTCACACATAGGCTTGTCAGTGAACACATCCGCATGCTCTTTTCCCTTTCTGCAGCCTCACATTAAGTAAATATTTAGCATGGGCGCGTTGTAAATCTTACTATGCTACAGAGAAGTCAGTCCATCTCAGCAGCTCCCAGTCAGTGATGTGCACTTCAGCAGGGTATATTCATATGGCAATACAGGACCCAACCTGGAAAGCTCTTCCAGGGCTGGGCAGGCACCAGTTCCTCTGTTTCATGTTCTTGGAACCAGAAGCCGTGGGGAACATTGTGCAGAGACCTCTGGACAAACATCCTGACATGTGTATGAGTTTAAGTTCCAAGTCTGTGCTAACAGGCACAACCTCTTGGCAAGCAGAGGTTTTCAAGAAGTTATCCTCCCCAGGGAAGCCACAGTGAACCTAGCTGCTTCTGCAGCTCCTCGCAGCACTCCAGTTCTCGGCGAGCCCACTCCCAGCAGGTCAGCCCTCTGCCTTCAACTTGCTGAAAAACATGTCATGTTGGAACTACTCCCACAGTCTTTTGAAGAATTCTCCCAAATGTAGGGAGGGCCTTTCCTGAGCTATTTGGAGTTGCTCCCAATAGTCCTCCAGAAAACACAACTTAAGAACTATCTGTGCAACGATCTACTTGCTACAGGAAACAGTTCCAGGAGCCAAGAGTCCCATCTTCCTCACTCAAAGGACAGGAAGAAAGAAAAAAAGCTCTTAAAGTGGAGGAGGGTACAGCTTCAGATGACTGGCTGAGGGAGAGAGAGGGAAATTGAAAACTGTTTGAAGCTGACTGGGGTAGCACCAAAGCTGCTCAAAGCTGTGCAGTGGAGTCTAACAGATCAAGAAGACACTATGAAATAGAAGGGCCATGTAAAGAAAGAGAATTCGAAAGGAAATATGCTACATATTCATAAGTGCACCAGATGAGGTAAAAAAGCACTTTTCAGCATCACAATGGCTGGGCAAGGATGAGTAATGAGGCATAAGGTGCTGTCTCATGCTGTGCTTAATCTGATGCATCTCCAGGCTGCTGTGGAAAGCATTATTCATATTATTCTTCTCTTCCCTGATGTAGATCTAGACCTCATACAGGTCAGTTTTCCATTGATCAGTTCCTGCTTCCTCTCACTTCCCAAAACAGCTCAATAACCAACTCACCCTGTAGCTGCACAGATTTGTAGATCCAGGGTTGGCAAGGAACACACAGCAGTCCAAACCCTAAGCTACCAGCCCACCGCAATGTCAGATTTTACAGTGATGGTTCAGACTGGCAACTTCATCTCATAACAACCATGGTCTCACTCCTCAAAACAGGATTCCAGTCCCTGGGTGGACTGCTTCAGTTTGCAGAATTGAAATAAAAAGGATTTTTTTTCTTAGATAGGCTAGTTTCTCAGAGGATGCAGTACCACTTCCCAAACTGCAATGGTCAGATGAGCACTGAAGTCATACCAATTCATGCAACTCTGCATTCATAGACAAGACCACCATGCCTGGCAGTAAACAGGGGAGCATTCATCTGCAAAGTGGAGAAGAGAGAACAGCTGCCTTCTAAGCTCATAAAATGACAAGGAAGCACCAGCTGTCAAGAAAGAAGGGAAACAAAATGCAGGTGAGGACACAGTCCTCTGGGATTCACACCCGCTCCCTCCCACTCCTCAAAGTCTCCTCCTATACCAGAGCAAAGCTGAATGGCAAGTGAGTGGTGGTGAGCTACTCAGTCCTTTGCATGTCCATAGCAATCCTTTTTATCAAGATCATGTAAGAGCAACATTGCAGAACGGAAGAAGCAGTTGCATCCATAAGCTCGTAAAAGATCCATAAATGCATAGAAAAGGCCTCTTGGTCTTCTGTGTCCAGAGGCAGTAGTGGTGGAAATGGCCAGCAAGAAGCAGTTCCATGTACACAGGTGTACAGGGTCTGGCCATGACACCAGCCTCTTTTCTAGTAGGTGGTAGGGCAGTACCTGTCCACACAAGAAATTTGGTAGGAGAGGAGTAGTATGTTTGGCCCCTGAAGAAGGTTAAGAATCAACAAAGACACTACTAACATTTGAAAAGTAGTTCAGTCTATGTCTACATTCAGATACCTTCCTGGGTAAGAAAGCTTCTACCCTGTAAAGCCTAAAATTACAAATTCTATCTGGTAATAAGTCATATGAAAACACCGGTGTTTTGAGATACATTTAAAAAATGCTAAAGGTCCATCTGGAGTTGTACCTTGGGAGGTTTAGCCTGGGACATTTTCTCAAGAAGGATTTGACTACAACCCATTTAACATTTGCTAGTCTACAGGATCCTATTTAGTTTTTCAGAAGTTGCAGTGCATGCTGTGGAAAACCAATGGACAGCAGGAAGGGAGAGGATGGTCTTACAGCTTGTAACAGAAGACTGCCCTGGGAAACTATACACCACTCTTCCATCACAAGGGCTTCAATCTGATGTAAGGCAAGTCACTTGAACTAAATAGGTATCGTATGTTCTTCTCGTTTAGAGACTCTGCATTCAGATTTGAGTATGAACTTACAATTAAAGTATAAAATATGAATTTAAGCCCTTTAAGTTCTCCAAAACATCAGCATTTAACAAAAGAATCACAGAGTACCCTTATTTCTCTTTATGTTTCCATTTCCTGTCTTGAAAGTCACTATCATAGCTCTCATGCACAGAGAAGCTGAAAAAAGGCATCTTTGAAATTAGTAATACAGTGAGAAACATCACTAAAATCCAGAAAATTTCCATGACTTAGTAACTAATGGTCACACATTGAACGAAGAAAACAGGACTAACGAACGACACATTTAACATGGTGGAGGTTTTGATTTTTCTTTTAAACATATCAGAGGGACTACATCTTGTCCCACACCACTATTATCATCCCTATAGCATCAATTCACCAAAGGTGGCACTGAAGGAGCTAGGAATTCATCCCCCAGCAATTCTTACTACCTACTTTCCCCACTCTGAGAGTTCCCCGATTGACACAATCATGGAGATAAATATAGGAGTAGAAATTTTCATGTGCAACTAAGCCAATCTAACAGATCATTGCTGCTGAAGAGGGTGGGTCCTGTTCACTCTCCCCTCAGTCCTCCCCGTTGAGTCAGCTCTAGCACTTATCTGAGCTTGCAATGAGCCAATACAGCTCATTAGAGTGAAGAAAAGCAATCCCAGCAAAAGAAAACAATCAGAATACAGAAAAACACAATAATATGCTGGTTTAATGAGCCAAATCAGCTCACCAAGGCTGCAAAGGCACACCAGCACTGGTGCAATAAAAGGGCCAGAAACACTAGAAGAAAAGAAAATAGCATCATTTTGTGTTTTTAAGTGGCAGGGAAACAAAGCTGCAAACACTTTGTGAGAGCTCCAGTAATGCTTCTGCCTGTTCTGCAGAGGTAACCAGAATGAAGAGCCTTATATGATAGGTGCCCAGAAGATGTTAGAATAACAAAATTCATGGTTAATGAAATCATGTCTGTCTTTCTTCCAGAAAGGACCTTTTTATTACAGTACTGAAATAAAACAGGTAGCTTCAAGAATGACCACCACTGTCACCCTTAGATCAGAGTAAAATAACTACAGGAAGCATGGGACTGTTCTCAAATAGCCTTACTGCTTTTACACTCCTGTTATCTCCCAGTTTTTATAAAGCAAATAAAAGATGATGTGAACAATTCTTTGCACTCAAATGGATTTCTTTTTGCTGTTGCTCTTCCTCTTGGTGGTTGTTCTGTTGTCTTAATTTCTACTTTTTTTTCACTCCCAGTCTCAGCCTGAAAGGTTCTAAAATGCATTTACTTTTACTTGTACTAATGAGCAAAAAAGCTCATCTAACCTCTTGCAGAGTACAGGATGAGGTAGGGATGAGGTGGTGGGGAAGATAATGGGGCTACCTGGCAGACCATCAGACAAAGAAGTTTTGTCTCCCAGTCCCCTGTGCTCACCAACTTCTTCATGTGTCTCTACTCTCCACACATTCCTAATCTTCCTCAATAGGCTTTGCAATCCCAGAACTCACCCTGTCAGATTCCCAGGGCAGAGACAAGAACCTGTGTGCCTACAGCTGAACAGGAAGTGACTTCAGCTGTAATACTCCAGACACAACCCTCAGTAACAGGCCAGGACTGTATGGAAGAGAAGGCACGCTGCTGGAATTCACGGTAAGGCAGCCTCCCCATTCAAGAGGTCTCTCTTTCTAGGAAAGCGGCATTTCTCTTAAGTAGAACAGTTCCACATCTGCTCTTTAACAGCCTCTATCTCGAGCACAACTTTTAATCAGCAAAAAGGCTAGGAGAGCATGGTTAAGGCAAAGAAGAAAATCTATCACAGTTCTGTGTGCCAGCTTGCGTGCTTTTTCCTCACATAAAACTGCAAAATAAGACTGCAAGAAAGGCTGGGTGGAAGAACTCTGTGCCACTGTACACCAATAAAAGACTGCTTGCTTAAAAATCAAGACCGAGCCAAGCTCTTTAGTGAGGCTATTCCTTTGGTCTGCACACTGTAAAACTAGTAAGCTTTAAATACTGTTGTCACTGAAGATAAGAAATCCTTGAAACCCAGTGGCAAAGCTCATGTCTCATACAGGTGTACAGGGAAGCCCACTGAGAAGGCAGGTATGTTCCATGACCAGTCACCTTGCTGGTGAAGTACCTGAAGGTCTGTTAGGACTAAGAGATCAGCAATGCTAGTAGCTCCAATACGACTCGATACTGCAAAAACCATGAGACTGGTTCTCTGCCCTCCCAATAGTTTCTTTAAAATTCCTTATAAATAATCAAGTAGAAAGAGACATTAAAAAGATACATTAACCTGCAAAATAAAACATTGGCATAATTAGATACAGTCCTAGCCCATACAAGCATGTGCTATCTTTGCTTCTTTCTGCTCCCTGAAAGATTTCTACCTCATTAATTGCACAGAAAACATGACTTAAGGAGCAAAGTAAGGTTACATGGAAAATAAATCATTACAACTATGTGATTTATTGAAGAAGCTCTAGGTATAAACTAAATGAGGCAAATGACAAATCTTTTCTCCCTCCTCCCATTCAAACAATTTATCAGTAACAACTGAATACATACTGGGAAACTTGGATTAAAAAAAAAGTAAAAACCTTTTCCACTGGAGTCTGCTATGAATTCCTTGGCTGCCAGATACTTAACATGAGGCACATTCCAATGTTTTGTAAGTCAGGCCATACATGTCTTGGGTTAATATCTGGACAGCAACAGGGCAATGCAACAAT